GCTTTCTGGTTGGGTGGGATCCAAAATACCCGGGAACAACTTTACGTGCTACGTAAGAGCTGAGGAGAGTGACTGAAAACCCGGAGGGTTGGGGTGTGGCTTGCCTAGCACGAGTGACAGTCTGCATTCCATCCCCCTAGGTTCCATTCCTCGAGCAGAAACTTATTTTCTTACCTGTTCATTTTTACAAACTGAGCCGGTCTGGACGCCTGACGTTTGCCTGGGCATTTAAAGGGGTTGTACTGTGGAATGAATATTTTAAATGTATGCAAAAGTATAGATGATGCTATGGTCTCCGCAACACACATATCACTTAACCTTTACAATTATTAGCGCATAGTCAACCAGTTTAGAGAAAATGGAACAAAGTGCCAAGAGATGGAATGAGCACAGCCGTAGTAGAACAGGAGGAGGAAGGAAGGAAGGAAGGAAGGAAGGAAGGAAGGAAGGAAGGAAGGAAGGAAGGAAAGAAGGGAGGGAGGAAGGAAAAGGAAAAAGTCGCCTAATTTTGCCATTTAGTCTTGTCAGCTAGGGTCCATTATTTCATTGTATACGTTTTCCTTTCTTCGCTATTGGATTAAGATGAATCTGGTAAAGTGACAATGATTGAATTCTCCTCAATTCAGCTTCTACCCAGTTAAAAGTGACCCCAGCTCTGTGTGTGTGTGTGTGTGTGTGTGTGTGTGTGTGTGTGTATGGGGAGGGGTGTCAGGTGAGTCTCTGGGCCTCGGTGGTCAGCCATCCTAGCTTAGTAGGTGAGTTCCAGGCCAGTGAGAGATCCTGCCTAAGAAAACGTGGCCAGCTCCTGAAGATGGCACCTAAAGTTGTCCTTTGACCTCCATGTGCACTGTGCATATACACGTGCAAAGAGAGAAAGACTTGGTCAAGTGCAATATGCAGCCACTGTGGTGCTTTGAAAGAAAATGCCCCTCTAGGGAATGGCACTATTATGAGGTGTGACCTTGTTGGAGTAAGTGTGGTCTTGTTGGAGGAAGCCTGTCACCGTGAGGTTGGGCTTTGAGGTCTCCTGTGCTCAGGCTATGCCCAGCATTGCAGTTCACTTCCTGTTGCCTTTGGATAAAGATGCAGAATTCTCAGCTCCTTCTCCAGCACCATGTCTGCCTGCACACTGCCATTTCCCACCATGATGATGATGTACTCAACCTCTGAACTGTAAGGCACCCAATTGAATATTTTCCTTTCTAAGAGGTGCCATGGTCATGGTGTCCTTCACAACAATAGACACCCTAACTAAGACAGTAGTGCTCCGTATGTTACCTTCTATGTATTGTTCTTTTACCCCAGAGAGCCTTGCACACTTCTTGCCCTTCTCACATCATACACTGTCCTGTTCAGAACTGCTCAGATCACATGTGTGCTTCTACCTAATGAACCCATCCTGAGTGCTCAAGGAGGAGAAAAGGCTCTCTGGCCCAGCTGTATATATCGACAAGAGATGATCTGGGGATCAGGAATAGAGTTCAGTGGCAGACACTTATTTAGAGTATGCAAAGCCCTGGATTTGAATCTTCACACACAATATTCATAGTAAGAGGGCAGGAGGAAGAGGAAGCCAGAGTGGTGGCATGTGACTGTACTCCTCATGCTAGGACGACTGAGGCAGGACTACACGCTTGAGGCTAACTTGGGCTGCACAGTGAGAAGTGTCTACCTCTTGGTTAAAAAACAGGAAGCTGCTGCACGGTGGTGGCGCATGCCTTTAATCCCAACACTTGCGAGGCAGAGACAGGCGGATCTCAGGGAATTCGAAGCCAGCCTGGTCTACAAAGCAAGTTCCAGGACAGTCAATGTTGTTACACAGAGAAACCCTGTCTTGAAAAACCACATACGCACAAAAGATATATAGTTGGTTTGGGTTTTTTTTCTTGTCCACACATAAGAATCTCATACAGCTACCTTCTGAGCTTCATGTATGGATTCTTTGAATGAATATGTGCCTGAAGTTATATTTTTTGAGTTGTGAGGTTACACGAATATTCCCTATACACGCAGAATACATTGAGTTTCTTCCAGAGGGCTGGGAGCATGTCTTTAGTTTCAGCACTGCAGAAGCAGAGACAGGCAGGTCTCAGTCCTGATAAATTTGAGTTCGAGGGCAGCCTGCTCTACATTCCAAGCATAGTTCTAGGACAGTCAAAGCTACACAGTGAGACTCCAGCTCTGTTTCAGAGAGAAATATGGGGAGAACATTAGAGAAAACTAGAACATTATTTATTTTGTGCGTGCACACACACACACACGAGAGAGAGAGAGAGAGAGAGAGAGAGAGAGAGAGAGAGAGAGAGAGAGAGAGAGAGAGAGACCTCAGAAGCCAAAAGAGGATAAGAGCATGTTGGAGCAGCAAGTGCTTAACTGCGGAATCATCTCTCCTGTCTCCAAAGTGTGTGTGTGTGGGGGGGGGAGGGGGGTGTTCATGCAGCCCAGGCTGTCTCGGAACTTAATGTACAGCTGAGGACGACCTTGAATTTACGATCCTCCTACCTCTGTTTCTCAAGTATTGGGGTCAAGGCACTTTCAACCACACCCAAATAGGATGTTCTTACAATATTTTCCTTTTAAAAAGATAGAGATTTATGCTTTTCTGTGTCATGGGTTTGTGTCTCAGATTCAATGAGTATTGTCATTCTTCAGTTCTACAGAGTAAATCTTAGGGCTGCCTATTTTTTCCTTCCATCATAAAGGCTTTACTGCCAGTACACCAGGACTCTTATTGTATAACCCTTGAAGTCTCTTTCATTACATTTAATTTTTTTAAAAAAAAGATTATTTATTAGATATACAGTATTCTACCAGCTTGTATGCCTGCAGGCTAGAAGAGGGCACCAGATCTCATTATGGTTGTGAGCCGTGGTTGCTGGGAATTGAATTCAGGACCTCTAGAAAAGCAGGCAGTGCTTTTAACCTCTGAGCCAGCTTTCCAGCCCACATTTAATATTCCTAATTATCTTGTTCATTTGTTTTGTATTTTCTCCTCTGTAATACAGAATGTCTTACTTATTGTTCTGTTACTATCTCTGGAAGCAGATTAAGAATACTGACATCAATGTGTAAAGTTAGAGGATAATAATTTTTGATAGGCACTATGCTCACATTAAGGTGTACAAAAGCAGGTTTAGTGAATGTCTTCCTATGAAGTGTTTCATAGCTTCTCTTTCAATAGGTAACTATTTGCCATTTCTTCACACAAGAATTATTTTACTCAATTTAAAATTTCTCAGTAGAGGTGGGGAGTTAGGTGGCTCAGTTGTTAGGATCATTTTCTGCTGTTCCAGTGGGCACTTTTTGGTTCCCAGTAGCTACATCAGGAGTCTGAGAAACACCGGTAACTCTCTGGCTCCCCTGGGCACCCCCACACAGCACAAACCCTCCATACTCATAAACTTTTTTTCTTTCTAGCAGGGCATGGGTAACACATGCATGCCTGTAATCTCAGCACTCAACATGTGGAGACAGGAGGACCAAGAACTGAAGGCCAGTCTTGCTATAAGAGACCCTGTCCTAGGGCTGGAGAGATGGCTCAGCGGTTAAGAGCTCTGACCTTTTTCCCCAAAGGTCCTGAGTTCAATTCCCAGCAACCACTTAGTGGCTCACTACCATCTATAATGAGATCTGGTGCCCTCTTCTGTTGTATAGGTACACATGCAGGCAGAACACTGTACCTAATAAATA